TTGGTGTAGAGGCGTAGACGGAGTCTTCGTCCTCGATCTTCTCTGTGTAGCCTTTTGCGACGATTCGGCTTCGTACTCCTGGTCCTTTCTTTCTGTGTACCCATCTTGTAGGTATCGCTTCTCTGATGACGTTGTCGTCGACGGTAGACGCATCTACTTCGTCGTAGACGTCATGTAGTTTCATTTGGTTTGACTCGTGTTTCATTCCTTCCAGTAGTTGTGTTTCGTCGTGACCTTCGTTGTCGAAGATTATGGGTTGGTCTTCTGAGGTGTCGTCGTTTGTGCAGGGGGTGATGGATTTTCCTTTGGGAAGTGTCACTGCGTTGATTTTCTGTCGTAGTGGTGGTGGTTCTTTGGTTGCTTGCTCCGTTGATCTGATTGTAGTGTCCTTTGAGGTCTTCTGTGCTTTAGTTGGCTGCATTACTTCTTCCGGAGTTAAACGTCGTAGTGCTTGTCGAGGTGGTGCTGGTAGTGGTGGGTGTTGTCGTCCGGTTGGTGAAGTAGCCATCGGACTATCCGGTAGTGGTCGTGAACTTGACGTCGATGTTGACGGAAGTCGTGGAGGTGGTGTAGTGCGTTGTTGTTTTGTTGCGGGTTCCGCAACGATGTCGTCCGTAGCGTTCGTTTGTTGTCCGAAATCTTGCGTGGACCTTCTTTTCTCTGACGGTTGTAGTTGCGTATCCAACAGTGTTGCGAACGATGGGTTGTAGGTGTTCCGTCGTGGTGCCCATGGTGTGCCGGAAACTTTGTTCAACAGTGCGAGGTCGTATTTGAAGTCCGGTTGTAGTCTCCGTACTGTTCGTACCTTTTGTACGCCTGATTCCGTTGCGACGTAGTTTTCTCCGGTTTCGGAAACTTTTCCGAGCCAGATGCATTTCTGCATCCGTAGGTCTGCTTTTGGAAGTTTCTTGTGTTGTGGTGGAAGGTAAAGTAGTGTCTCGCCAAATTCGCAGATTGCTCGCTCGTAGTTTCTTCCCCAGCGGCGTTCAAAGCTTGTGTAGCCGTCTGAGTGAATGACGTAGCGATTTACCGTCCATGCTGCATGTCGTACTATCCGAGGTAGTAGACAGTGCTTTGTGGACATCGTCATGCTGTAGTTGCTTTCAACTTCTTTGACGACGCGGATTTGTCCGAGAAGCGTTCTATGTAGTCGCTCAACGCTTCCTTGACTGTTGCTGCTGTAGGATGGTGAATGTCGTACAGTCATTGAGCCGACTTTAGATGCTGTTGCCTGTAGTAGTGCATTGAGTGTGTCTTCGTTGTCGCTTTGTAGTATGCCTTGTGTTCTTCCGCATTCAAAGATGAATGCTTGTAGGTTGTTGATCATGTAGTCCATCATTGATGGTTTGTCCGGAACCAATACCGCCATGCACAGTTGTGTAGTAACATCAACTGCTGTTAAGACGGTTGTCGTGACTGTTGTTTCTTGTAGTTGTCCTGGCGTCCTTTGCCTTGAACGCAAATTGGACACCAATTTCTGTATGGTAGGTGTGTCAAGTTGTGTTCTGCTATTTGTTGTGGAGTTGGCTGCTGCGGTTGTCGTAGTCCTATTGCTCTGTGTGCTTCATGATGCGCGTGTTGTTGTTCCTCATCGTGGTTCTCCTGGATGCACTCGTAGTCTTTCTTCACGGTGAACCTTGTTGTTCCTTTCCGTTGAAATGGTAGTGCTGCGTTGCCTATGACTGTCCAGTCATCTTTGCGTTGCGAAACTTCTCCAAAGTGGTTGTGAGTGATTGTAGTTCTGTGAGGCTCAAGTGTGCTGATTGGTGGATGTCCTGGTCCATCTGTTGGCGTGAATAGAGTTGTTCTAAGTGTTGTGTGGTGTCTTATCCAGTATTCACCTTGTCTTTCCCAGTAGTCTTGGTTGTCCTCCTGTGCTGTGAGTGGTCTGTGGATTGTCTCCTTTGGTTGTGTGGTGTCAAGATTTGTAGAAAGTGCTGCTTTAGGTCTCCATATCTTTTGTGGTGCTCGTAGTTGGATCTTTGGTCTGGTTGGTGGTGTGTCCGTTAGCCGTTGTGGTTGTGAGCTCTGCCTTGTTGGTGTGGTCTTTGATGTTGCTCTGCGTGTAGGTGCTATCTTTCTTTTGAATCTGGTTTCTCCAGTCCAGTTGTCACCTTCTAGTCTTCGTTGTAGTTCTTGCTTGGAAAGTTGTGTTGGGTTCTCTTGTAGTTGTTCTTGCTCTTGCCCTTGTCTGTTGATGATGGTTAGTCGCCAATCATGTAGTTCTCCTTCAGGTATTGGGCAACCGCTGTTGTGTGGTGTGAATAACGCTTTGCGTGGTCGTTTGTGTACTCTGATGGCGTAGTCACCATCAAGTTTCCAGTAGTCAGTGTTTCCACCAAGGATCTGTCGTAGTCCTTGGTCTGTGTGGGTGAGTGGTGCAATTTGTTCTTGTTGTTGTACTGTTTTCTCTGTAGGTTGATTTCAGCAATGGATTTTCCATTGTCTGTAGTCATTGGGTAGATGTCGAATCCTGTAGGGATGTCGGTCTTCTCTGCTTGTAGGTAGAAACGTCCTGAGTGTCTTATGAGGTGTGCTTGTCCATGTGTGATGGTGCAGTGTCGTGGAGTGAAGTCAAGTCCATATCCTCTATCAAGTAGTCTTGATGCACTGAGGATTGGATACTTCACATCACAAACGTAGTAGGGTATCACGATCCTGAAGTTGGCCTGCTTGTAGGGAACGTGCTTGATGCCGAAGACAGAAATCTTCTTGTTTGTAACCGTGTAGAGTTGTGGAACCGATTCTCCACAAGGTCGTAGCGGTAGGTCTGGTGCGTAGTCCTTCGGGCAAACATGTGTAGATGCTCCTGAGTCGATCAACAGGTGGTGGTATGACTTGAGGTTGGAGTACATGATGTAGTGTGTGATAGTGTCCTCAATCTTCTTGTTCCTTTGTTGTTGTCTTGCTGCTGCTATGTCAAAGTGTGGCTGTGTGTTGTCTTCTTGTAGGAATTGTTGAAAGCTCTTGCTGTGGTCGTTCCATGATGTTGTGTGTGTTGTTCTCTTGCCAAGTAGTGATTTGGATTTGTGCTTGTGTAGTCGTGAGTTTGCTTGTCTGATGTGTCCAATGGTGAGGTGTGACTCGTTGATGCCTCCAATGTAGTTTGCTGTGTCCTCATAGCTGTTGTCATTCCCATCCCAGCTGTTGTCATAGTCGTAGTTGTTCCAGTTCTCCTCCATGTAGTTCACCTCGTGTTGTCCTTCTTCTCCTTCGTAGTACCAGTCCCAAGTGTCGTTCACATCCTGAGGTAGTTCTTCATTGTTGTCATGATCTTGTTCTTGTTCTAGTGGATGTAGTCCTATGTGCCATACTGGCACTCTGCAGTCTTGTGCCCAGTGGCCAGGCTTGCCACATCGATGGCATGTTGTGTAGTTGTTGTTTCCTTTTCCTTTTGATTTGCTGTAGTTTCCTTGGCCTTTGTAGCCTTTGCTTGATCCATATCCTTTGGATCCTGAGTAGCCTTTTCCTTTGCTCTTGTTGTATCCTCCTTTGTTGTAGTTTCCTTTGCTGCCTTTGTCGAATCCTTTGTAGTGGCCTTTGTTTCTGAACTTGCCTTTTCCTTTGTTTCCTTTGTAGGATCCTTTGCCTCCATGTTTGCTTTTGCCTTTGTAGTTTCTTCCTTTCCTCCAAATGTTGTCCACGTCCGTGGGTGCTGTTCCACCATTGTAGTTTGTGCCAACCGCTGAGCTCGCTCTTGAGAATGCAGATATGGTCTTGTAGTAGTCCAGGATCACAACTCTGATCTCGTTGTAGTTCGTGATCTGTCCAGCACGTAGTTGGAGATGTTGTTGAAGTGCTCCTTTGGTCTTGTTGAGTAGTATTGCAATCTTCACTCCATCTGGTAGTGCTGTGCCGTTGTCTTTCTCGTAGCGGTTGATGTCATACTCCCACTGTAGGAATTGTTCTTCAAATTGTGCTTCATTGAATGTAGGTTCCAGTAGTTTGGTGAGGTAGCCAACACTGCGTGTTCCTACTGGTAGGCTGAACCTGTTGTGCAAAAGCCGTAGTGTTTCACATCCATTGGCATTGTAGCGGTTTTGTCTGACCACTGTAGCTGCTGCACCTTGGCAGATGTTGATGAGGATGTAGTGTAGATCTCGTGAGAGGTCTACTGCTTTTGCTGCCTGTGTAGGGTCGCGTATGTGGGCTCTGATGTCTGCATCTTCAATTTGTCTTGTAGCTGCTTGTGCTAGTTGTAGTACCATGTCGAAGTCTCGGTCGATGAGTCCGAGGTATGCTTGTAGTTTGAACAGCCACTCTTCGTACTGTGAGTAGTCACCAGTGAAGAACGGTGGTGGCAGTTTGTATTTGTGTAGCCTTTGGACGTCTTCCTGCTCCTGTGTTGTTCCCGTAGTTGTGGCTCCTATTGTCTCCTCTGCTGTGGGCCCGTTGTCTGCTCCTGTAGTTGGTTGTGCTGATGCTGCTGCTGGTTCTCCTGACATGTCGTAGTAGTTGGGCATGTGGTTGCCTGTGCAGTTGTAGTACTTACTGCTGTTACTGGAGCTCCCCTATGTTTAGGACCTCAGCTCCGCTACCACGTTAAAATACGTCGTTACTTTACTACAAGTGCAAGTGTTGCTTATGCTGTCACAAACACAAATGTAGTTTCCCAGCATGCGCTCTTTTGCTTGTAGACTCAAGGCCTGCGGTCGAGTAGTGTACATCATGCATGTACAAGGGACAAGTAGTACAGCATGATATTAGACATCCCTCTCTCTCTCTCTCTTTCTCTGTTTCTCTCTTTCTCTTTCTCTCTCTTTCTCTGTCTCTCTCTCTCTCTCTCTCTCTCTTTCTCCGTTTTTTGTTTTTCTCTCTCTCTCTCTCTCTCTCTTTGACTTGAACTCTCTACTTTTAAAAATTCAATATGTTTCAAGAAACAAGGAATACTATATTACGAAACCAATTATGTATATATATATATATATTGATACATGTTCTATGTAGGCGTTTGGCCGAAAGTTTATATCTGCTCGCAACAGATGTAGTTCGCCGCGCATTTTGTGTACTATTTTTGCGGAGTTACTGGGCGGAGCACCAAGAGATATCGAAGCCAACCTTGCGCTCGCCAGCAGTTGCTGGACTGCTGCGCGCCGCACTCGCTTGCGCAACTGCAACTTGAGACACGGGCAACTGTCATGACGCCAGTTAACACCTTCTGTTCATGGCAATGCGGCTTTGGGTCAAACGGGCTTGAAGGCTTTGCTAGTTGGCGCCGCAAGCTCGCTGCCGCAAACCTTCAACCTATCAACCGAACCAATGTCAACATGCAGGGCGCGATGGCAACTCGACGTGGGCAGCATAGCACTAGCAGTGCGGGAACGTGAATTGTTTCTGCCCTTTCTCAAAAGAAGCCGACAAAAATAACGTTTCCTCCCATCTGGCACTGGAATTGGCTACGCGAGCAAAGTCCATGCGCAAACCTTTCCAGCACCTTGCCCCTGCCCATCCTCTCTCAGCTTAAGCTCCAGGGCCCTGGCCGGGCAGTTCCGGCAAATAGGCCTCCAGCGCGTGGTTTTTTAAGGCACGCGCGCTCTGACTGACTGCCGGCTAGCTGACATTGAGTTCAATGACACCTAATCGATGCAACACGAGCATGCTGAGCTTGTTACGAAATCCTGCAGTAGAAAGCCCAACGCTTGCCCAGTCGGGAAACAGCACACAGCCCGCCGCTCACACAGTAGGAGGGGGCAAGAGGCGCAGTCTGTGGAGGCGCCCGACGAAGAATCCCACGCAGTGACGCAGGAACAACGACAAACAGCCAACCAAACGATGACGATAACAACAACGTGCTGCAAAAGAACAAGGCTACGCGCGCTCCCCGCCTGTTGCATCGCCCAGTTTGCTCTTTGGCATCGGACCGGAAAAAGTCCAACCTGTCGCAGGTGACAAGTACGACAATTAGGAGGGCTGCCTGCCTCATTGTGACTGGCAGGAAGGAAACACCAGGCGTCCGTCAGCCGTCTTTTCCCCCTTTTCTGGAAATGGCTCGTCGTGGAGAAATCAGGACGTGGACTAAAAGAAGCGATACGCTGTCGCAGCCCTTGCCTGCAAGCACTTTTGACCAATGCCAAAGGGACGCAACTCAATCTTGAGGGCCTGTACCTACAAGGAACGCTTCACGGCAGGCGCCTCTGCTGGACCGGGCGCCCACAGCAGAGGCCAGCTGCCAGGGAGGCCTCCCAAGCCCGCCCTTGTCTAGTTTCTGAAAAAAGCAGCCGGATTCTTTTCTGGCTCAACTGAATGCGATGGATTCTGAGCGCACCTCCGCGCGCATAAGGCCACCACATCACGGCAAAACCAATTACTTGTTCGACATGAAGGATGCGTGGAAGCCAGGAGCTGTAGCAACTGGCCAACTACGCGGCTGCAAGTTGCTCTCCTTGGCTCCCTGTGCTGGGACGCGCGCGCTTGCGTTGCGCTTGCTTGGTTGAGTGTTTGTGTGTTTGCCTTCTGTCGGTTTTTGTTTGCGCGCGCTCGATTGCGCTCGTTTGTTCTCGTTTGTTTGCTTGTTTGTTTGTTTGTTTGTTTGTTGGCTTGGTTGTCTGTTTGCTTGCTGGCTTGGGCGCGAGCCGCGCTGCCAAAGCGTCTCTACTTTTTGTCCCCCTTTCCTCGCCTTCGCGCGTGCATGTGCGGCCTGTTGCGCAAGGTGTCACGCAATTTGGCACGCGACGCGCTGTTGTGAGCCGATCTGCTCTTGCCGCGCAGCCCACGATCTTTGGGAAATGCATCCTCCAGGAGAACGCTTGCTTCGAACGGACGGGGCGTAAGGTTCAAAGTTCGTGGGCGGAGCTGCAAGTAGTAAATGTGAGGTTCGAGGGCGCGTTATTTGATCCAGTCTCGGCCAAGCATTCTTGCGACCTATCCAGATTCGCGACGCCCGCAGCCTCACATGCGCCACACCTGTAGCTTGGTCAAAAACGCCAAGAAGACCAGCAAGAGAGTTTTCTTCCCTGTTAGCGGCAAGGCGGGCTCTAGGTAGCCACCGTGCGCTGGGCGCGTTTTTTGCGTTTGCGCTTGTCCGTGTGTTGAGTTCCTGATCAACCCAGGAACCCAATCATGTGCAGGGGCGTCTTCCTAGCCACGCCAGCGAAGCTTGGCAGAAGCGTTGAGGAACACGCTGTTTCTCCAGAGAAATTTCGCTCGTCGCCCTACTTGAACAGATGAGATTACTCAAACATTCTACGCGAATGGACAGAGTTTTTCCTGAGTTTAAGTGTGCGCCAGTCTGCTTCAGCTTGGCCCGTTTCGGGATGGCCTGTTTGTCTTTGAGTCGTTCGTCGTTCTCTTCCTGTCTGCCTTCTAGCTCGCGCTTCGTTCCCCGCCCGTTGTTTTGCTTGACGTCCACTACCGCTGTCCGATTGTGCGGGATTCGCCCTCCTCTACAAGATGAGTTTTTTCATCTTTTCCTTCTCCGCCTGGGCGGGATGCGACGTCCTAAATACGCTCCTTGTTCCTCCGTCTCTCCTTGTTTTTCTCTCTTTTTTTTTACCTCTCTCTGCCTCCAACGCTCCCTAGTGTTGTTTTTAACATCTTGCTTCTCTTTCTCCTTTTCTTTCCTGTTGTCGCGCTATTTTGTGTTCCTCCTCTTCGCCCGTTCAGGGATGGCCTGCTCCCCTTCTTGCTAATCAACGTCGCGGCCCTTGTCGTCGGCAAGGTGTTTGTTTAGGGTTGCTGCCCTCGTCGGAGACCCTAAACCCTGGCTCCCTTGTCTTTCCTACTTCTTGGTTGAGGGTTTCGCTCTCGCAAACCCAGTGCGGGGCCTTTGTTTCGAGTTCGGCTTGTTCTTTTTCTTCTCTGTTGGGTCTCCGCCTGCAGGGAGTGTGTGTGCTGAGTTCCTGATCAACCCAGGAACCTACATGCGCAGGCGGCGTGACAGCCATCTTCCTAGCTAGGCCAACGAAGCTATGGAACTTTGGCCGGAAGCGTTTAGGGACGCTTCAACGCGCGCCTGCAGCAGTTATGCAAAGTCCTTTTGGCCCGTTGTTTCTATTGCTGTGTGTGTGTGCTTCGTGTTGAAGTGGTAACGTTTTCGATTCTAGAGTGAAGCTGCCCGACTGGACAGCGTTCTCCCTCCGGAGTTTAAGTGTGTGTGTGTGTGTGCGCATAAGTTTGGCTTGTTTGTTTGTTTGTTTGCTTGCTTGCTTGTTTGTTTGTTTGTTTGTTTGTTTGTTTGTTTGTTTGTTTGTTTGTTTGTTTGTTGGTTGGTTGGTTGGTTGGTTGGTTGGTTTGTGTGTTGCTTTTGTTTTTGCCTTTGATTTTGCTTGATTGTTTTTGTGTGTGTGAGAGCGATTGTGCGTCTTTGTGCGTTCGTGTGTTTGTGGCCTTTTTGTGAACGCGTGTTTGTGCGCGATTGCAGCGCGTTCTTGCGCGCAAGTGCGCGCTCGTGTATGTCTGTGTGTGCAGTTCTGTGCGCGCGTCTGCGCGTGCTTTGTCTTTGTGCGTGCGTGTGCGTGTGCGTGTGCGTGTGCGCGTGTGGGTGTGCGTGTGTGTGTGTGTGTGTGTGTGTGTGTGTGTGTGTGTGTGTGTGTGCGTGTGTGCGTGTGCGAGCGTGCGGTTTTGGCATGTGTGCGTGTTTGTGTGTGTGTGTGCGCGCGCGTGTGTCCGCCGACATTGTTCGGCATGTCGGATATCTAAGAGCGGATAGAGGATGACCCCCCCCCATACTCCCGTGAGACACAGGGCAAACCTTTTCTGGGCATCAACATCACGGTCCAGGACTGGCTTGAAGTGAGACTTGACAGGAATTTGTTGCACACATTGAAAAAATACCTACAAGTTTGCAAATATTGCAAAATTATTGTGCAAAACATGTGACTGAAACTCGGCAAATTGTTCACATTCTACACTGAGAAATTGGCTGCAAAAGGATTTTGTTTGAATTAAATTACAAATTTTACAAATTTCACAAATGAATTTGTAATATGTTCAATAAATAGTCTGGGAATAGAACATTTTACAAATTTTGCGAGCTGATTCGCAAAACTTGTAAAACTTCAAAAAAGCAGGCCAGAAATTACAGTTTTGACAATTTTCACAAGTTCTATTCTGAGAAGTTGGGTTGCAAGGGGATTTGGCTGGAGTTTAACTCCAAATAACTTTACAACTTCGTTTTGTACCATTTGTGTTATTGCAAAAAATATGGCCCCAAATTAAATTTTAACTTTGGACGAGGTTTTTGCGAACAAATACAAATTATTGTAAAGTCATTTGTAAAACCTGTAGTTTAATTTCAACCAAACCCCCTTGCAGGCCAATTTCCCAAGGTAGAGTTTGTAAAATTTGTAATTATGGGCCTGAGCTGCTACAAATGTTAGACACCAATTTGCAAAAATAGTTTGTAAGTTTGGGCCAGATTTTGGCAAGTGTTGCCAACTGGTTTGTAAAAACATGCAAGCTTGTATTTTAATTCCGGCCAAGCAATTGTACAGGTTTTGTATTTTGCAAATCAATAAATGTGCTCAAGAACTACAAAACTTACAAATCAGGTTGAACAAGCCGATCCAAGATTACAGATTTCGGTGTATACTCACCTTCCTTCCCTTCATGATTCTTGCTTTCTTTGTCTTTTTTCAATCAAGTTCATTTCATCTTGAATCGATTGAGATTGGGGAAGGATTTTCATTTGGAGCCTCTCTTTTGTTCTATTTTCATACATTTGGTTTTCTTCAGGATCTCGAACTCATACTTTCTTTATCTCTCGCCCTCTCCCCTTTCCATTTCTTCCTACAACCAGCCCAATAGTTAAGATGGAACAAGCTGGAAACAGAACTAAATGTAAGATAGGTGCGGGAGAGAGGACATCTTCTATAACATGCTTCTTTTGGGTTAGTTTCATATCATTCATGTCCGGCAGGGAAAGAGATGGAGAAAAAACGTGAATAGAAAGATAGGAAAGAAGCTAATGGTCGTAGCTGAGATTGTACATGCTTGTGCCCTTCCCGTCAAACTGTCATTTGTGCCTCAGAGGTTCTATCTCATACCAGGTTAGACCAAGTGATGAAGGCAAGGGAAAGGTATGAATGGACATCGCGCAGCATAAAACCAGATAGCCTGTCTGCGAGCATTCAAGGATAATATGATTGAAGGTTTCCCTCACTATCCCTTTCCAGCGTAGACAGTGTTGAGCCATGTTGAGCCAAAACCTGCAATCTGTACATTTCCATCTCCCCTCCCCGCTTGAAAACTTACACTCTTTCGCACACCTTGCAAATGTACAGCCAAAAGTCGCGTACATTTACGCACCGCCCCCCTCGATACATTAAAGAAGGGGGAGGTGATTCCTTGGTTCAATCAAGTAGAAGCTGGCTGCTCTACGGTTTGCATAGACGTAGGGCTTACCGCAAACATTTACGCACGCTTTGGCACACCCGCGAAAAAATACCCCCGACCTATAAAAGCAGAAACGTTTCCCTTCCCTCTGTGAACAAACGCTCTCCCCCTTTTAGCTCGCAGAGGTTCGCGAAGCTCTCAAACAATTTTTCAATGGCCCCCTGACACAAAACTGATCAGAGCTTCAGGCTCTGTGCAAAATAGATGGCGTGGCAGAATGCCCTGCCTTCCATTGCGTGAAGCTCGAGGCGCATTTGCCTTGCACACAAGGCAACCGTGAAACATCACGCGTGCCCGCGAGTGTCGGAATGCTGCAACACGCAAGGAGGACCGCGGACCTTCTTGACACAAAGTTATCATCTGAGCCTGCTTGCTTTTGTGACAGTTAAGAAAGAAGCCTTGACTGTGACACCCATCCCGCCTCTCGTACTCAGCCTGAGGGCGCGTGAGATCAGAGCAGTCGCGCGCCCGTGATTTGGCGTGTCCCTTTAACACGCCTACAATTGAATTCTTCGGCATCCCAGTCAAAACGACGAAACATGATCTGTTTCGCCCTTACCTTGGGCTTTCACCGCAGATGTGGAGTCTCTGAACTTGCTGGCACGATTTCAAGCAAGGCGCGCAAGGCCCAGACCGGGTCCAAATGAGTGCGTGTTGTTGAAGGCGCCTGCCTGGGGTTGTGTCGGACCGAGTTGCTTGAAATCGATTGCGCGCAGATAAGGCCAGGCTGGGCAGATGTTGTGTTGGCAGGTTGACGCTTGTCAATGCCCAGGAAAAAAGGCAAACTTGCGCGGTTCGCTGTGTCTGGAGCACCTGGCAAGTGCCAACAGTCCTGCCTTTCGCCGCGACTTTTTTCAAGACTCCCTCTCAGACGCGCTTGGCGTAGGCGCGGTTCTTGCGACATGACCTCAAACCCTTTCTCGCAGCGTTGTAGGCCTGGCGTAGATCGTCAGCCCTTGCAGTCCTCCAAGCTCATCGCTCGAAGCTGGCCGACGTCTCAGCATCCTAGTCTTCATTGCTCAAGGTGGCCACATCATCACAAGACCTCGGGTGCGGCCAGCCGTTGGCCAAGAAGGTTGTCAGAAAAAGTCTCACCGAGCCTGCGTGCAAGATGAGTCCACCAAAAGGCACCCCGCCACATCTAAGTACGGACTGCAATTGCTCAGCAGGAGGGCTGTCAAGATGAGACGGGGCCCCACCTCTCCCAGTGGTCAGTGGGCCAAGGGTCTAGGGCCACCGATCTTAGCCCTTGACTGGCCGTAGTCTTGCAAGGGGCGTCGCTTCACCTTGACAAAGCATAGGGTCAAAGACCGTGACATCCTGGTTGCCGTCTTGCGCGCAACCTGATAACTCACCGAGTTTAGACCCTAACTAGAAGACGAAAGCCAAACTCGCAGGTCGGCCAGGCAATATGACCAAACACAGCAGCCCCAGAAAATGAAAGTGTTCCACAAAAGGGAGCTAAAGAATCTGCAGATTTGGCTCTGCGCAAGTGCCACTTTGCAAGAAGACTGCGCAGTGTTGCGCTGCAAGATGCTGCCAGCAAGTTACTTCACGCAAGTTGCTCTGCGCAAGTTCTCTGCTCAGGTAGCTCTTTTCAGGCGCTTTTCGTGCGCCCTGCGCGAAGTGCTTCGCGCAAGTTGTTGCTGCAGCGCTGTCTGCGCATGTGTGCTCTGCGCGCGGCGTGCTGCGCGTGTTGCTTTGCGCAAGTTGCCCTGCGCAAATTCTGTGTGCGAGATATTCTGCAAGAATCTGCGCATGTCTGCAAAACTCTCTGTGCGACAATGTTCGGCAAGTTGCAAGTCGCTTGCGCAATGGCCCAATGCAAGTTTTTCTGCGTTAGCTCTGCTGGCATCTCTGCGCAAGTTACTCTGCGCAAGCAAACGGGGCTTTGCGCAGGCGCTCGCTCTCCATTGTCCGCGGGATCGCGCTTGCACTCAACTTCCCAGTACGATGTTCAGCCAGAGCTGCAGGAGCGCGCTTCGCGTGCTGCTTTTGCGCGGGAAGGTTGCGAGGTTTCACTACCTTTCCGCTTAAAAGTTGCAAGTCTTCCGTGGGCCCAACTGGGATCACGCCCGCGACGACGCGAGACAGCTTCCAAGGAGCAACTCGCAAGCAGCAAACGTAACAACAGTCGCACGGGAGCGAGAGCAATGCGACCGGCGCGATCCAGAGGGTCACGCGTGCCACAGAAACCGCGCAAAAAGTCTTTCTGTTTTTTGACATCGGCCGCGCTGACCCTCAAAGAGTCCTGCCATCGACCACCGTGCGTCAATGACATCGAAATCGCAACAGGTCCTGTTTCCGCACATCAGCCACACCGATCCTGCTCGTTATGCTTTTGAGACCGAGCCTCGGCTTCCATAGCTGTTGACGCCGGGCACCTCTATGCTAGCTCTTTATACCAATGTGCAGTTGGCAGTGCAAGTGGCTCTGCGCAGATGAGCTCTGGCAAGTGGTTTCGAATATGTTTTTGTCGGGTCGAGAGCCATTCGCGATGCTTTCGTCGAAATCCTGCTGCTCCGTGTTACACGAAAGGATGCGACCTGTTTTGAGGGGTTTCCACATGTGGCAAAGCCAGGCCACACCAACCGGCTTGGCTGCCCTGCTGGAGGGAGACTGGCGCGGCCCCGCGCCGCCAGCACCAACACCTCAGGGCTGGGTGTTAAGAACAGCGTGTCGTTAGCCTGCTACAAACTAACCCGTCCAAGAGGCCCCCTTGACAAAATAGTCTTCTATCGGTTACTTAGTGTTGCGCCCCAAGGCCATGTTGGTTTTGGATGGCCCTGACATTTTGAGCGCTGCCCAGAAAACTCAGCCTCCGAGGTTCCTGACACGCGGCATGGCAACGCACATGCGCGCGGCGCACGCGAGTTTGGTCAAGATGCCTGCACGCGCCGCGTGTGGACTCTATTCTTGGAGGCGCACCCGCCAAGCGGATTCAAACAACCATTAATCATGTACCGTGAGTAATTGACTTAGTTGACTGGGGTCGGGTTTAGCAGGGAAAGGGGTTTGGCATGAAGGCAATTTAATCAAGGGAAGCAGGGAAATGAAAGGAAATGAAAGGCAATGCAAGGAAAGGACGAGGGCTGAAGGGAACCCAAGCGATTTGAAGCGACAGGAAAACTAGAAAAAACGTGCTGTGCAGGGAAATGAAGGGAACTGCAGGAAAGGACGGAAATTAAAGGGAAATGAAGGGACACGACGAGAAATGAAGAGAGTTAAAGGGAAACGAAGGGACAAGCAGGGAAATCAAGGAATCGGAAGGAAAGGAAATGACGTGAGGGTGAAGGAAAATGAAGCAACTTGAAGTCACAGCGCAGTCTGCAGCACTCCTCAACTCAACTCGGTTTGTCCCAGGCAACGGCGGTCATGCCAGCCGTGCCAGGCGAGACGTTGTTCCGGGCTGGGTGACTGGAGGGTGGCGTGTTGGGCCAAAACCGGGATCGCCGTGTGTCCACACAACAGGCATTTGACTCGGTGGTCTTTCACCTCGGCGCAGGGCACCTGCAGGGCCTCAGTCCTCTCCTGGATGGCGGGCACTTTGTAGCTTGGCTCTCAAATTCTTCAGATACTTCTCAGCGCTCACACCCTTTTTTGTGAAGCCCCCGCCGTATCGCTGTAAAAAAGCTTGGTCGGGAAGTGGTCTGGCTCCACCAAGCGGTAAAGCCCCTTCTTGGCATCGTGCGCCTGTGCCACACACACACATATCCGTATCTTCTCGGTCAAAAATGGACTGCGGCAGAGAATCGGGACCTGCGCCGGCATCTTCAAGGTCTTCCGCCTGTTGCTGAGGTCCATAAGGACCGCATCAGGATCCGCCCTTACCAGCACATCTGCGCCGTCCTCCAGTTGGAACGGATCAGGACTCGCGCAACCTCCGCTGAAAGTTGCAGGCCGCCACCAAGGAAAGAGGTCCATCACGCCCATCTCCGCAGGTCGAGCTTGTTCTTCAATTTACTAAACACTTCCGTGGGGGCAGCATGCTCCTTCTGCTGGATCCAGGCAACCAGATCGAAGCTACCGTGTCCACATGCAGCCACTTGTCCAGGCTACCAAGGCTCCTGCGTTCTTGGCGCTTCAGGACAGCCGCATCCACTCGAAGATCCATGGTCTGCTCCCCCACGCCAGGTGCCTTCGGAGGGCAAACGGCCAGAAGCAGCCGTCCCGCCACCAAGGTCAGCTCTGTGGCCGTCATCACCGCATCAACTTTCCATGGCCGCCACGTCCCCCTCCTTAATCTCCTCTGCCGGCTGCTTCAGAAGGCCATAGGGAGTGGAGGGTGGGAAAACAAATGAGGGAGACCGAGATCTGAACAAGGGAGCCAAAATGGTCTCGAGCATAAACCTCCGCAAGGACCGAGCACAAGTGGTGAAAACCGGAGTTAGCAGCACTTGGCACTATGACATCCTGGTTTTTCAAAAACAAGTTTGGGCAACATAAGAAATGGAACATGCCAGGAAGTGAGAGGGGAGAAGAGACATGAAGTGAGAAATGAAAGGGGCAAAAGAGAAACGCGGGAGCTGCAGGGAATAAGACAAAGTGAATGAATTGAAGGAAGCTGACAGGAAATAACAGATTAGAAAAGAACACTGAAGAACGTTCAGAAAAATGTCATGAAGGGAAACAAAGGGAAATTCAAGATGATGGAATTCGATTTAAGTGAGTTGAAGTGAAATGTAAGGAAAGATGAATGAAGTGAACTGAAAGGAAACGAAGGGAAGAGAAGGCGCCCGGGCCGACTGTTTCTTGTCTGCGTCTAAATCCGCCCGCCGGGGCTCCAAGCACCGACGGGCCGTGATTGGGCCGAAGGCCTAGCCCGGAGGGCTACCTTCAGGTATTTTCTGGGCCTGCGGCCTCTAGCCGGCTACGCCTCTTTGAAGTTATACCATGTCATGTCATGTTTTTTGTATGAGAAACGTATCCTGTGCTATGATATGGTTGCCCACCCCAACCCCAGATGATGCCGAGGATGCCAGCTTTCTGGGCCCTAGCCGGGACCAAAACCAGAAGGCTGACATGGGGTCGCGCGCGCGCGCGCCAGAGGCCGCAGAAACAGCAGCCCAAAAAGAACAGCCCGCAAGCCAGCCCGGAAACGCAAAAGCAACAAAACACCGCAAATAGCAGCGATTTGTGGCTGGGGCCGCGCGCGCGCCAAAAGGCCCGAAAACCAACGCGAAAAAAGCAAGGACCGCGCAGCGCGCGAGCCAGCCACAGCAAAAGCAAAACGGACAGAACAACAGCCCACCGCTCAGCACAGCAGTTTTTGACGGTATTTACAGCGTTTTGTAGAGCCAAAGCCCAGCATCGCCGGCATGCCCGGCAGCGCTTGGCGCCAAAATGCGCGAAAATGAGCCTCGCTTATATCCCTCCGATACCTTCTAAAAAAACAGTGCTTTTTTGGGTTGAGAGGCTTTTTGGAAGGAAGTCTGGATGATGCAGACCAAGCCCCGCTGAAGCATCACCCAGGCCCAACCCCAGACCCTGATGATGTCAGCCACATGGCTTAAACCCTGCATATACGCGATGTTTTGCGAGGGTTTCCCACAGGCAAGCAAAACCGCAAGCCCGAGCTGGTGATGCAGAGGTGCCGGATTTAGGCAGCGCATCACGACCAAGTGGCGAGGGTCGGCGGCACCAGGGTAGCGGCGACATGCTACCCGAGGAGGCGTAGCCGGATAAGGCCGTCCGCCCCATGCCGCTGACCATGCGAGGACCATGAGCCGACTGCGGGCCGACCCTGAAGATAGGTCTTGCGCTGCGTTGTCCTTGCTATGGGGCGAAGGATTTGCCGATCAGCTTGGGTGATTTTGCAGAAGTTTACATGTTTTTTTTGCTATCTCCTCTTGACTCCCAAACAACGAGCCTTTTTAGGCCCAGCAATGCAAGCATCATCCCGACTGATGCAAATAATGCAGGATGTGTTTGGGCTGCTAAATGAATCGGTCAAGGAAAGGATGGTGCATGAAGACACGAAAGGGAACTGGAAGGAAATGAAAGGAGATGAAAGGAAGAGAAGAGAACTGCGATGGAAATCGAAGGGAGAGGAATGCCATTGAAGGGCAATGAAGCGAACTGCCGGGGACTAAAGGGTAAGGACACGACGGGAACTGTAAATGAAAGGGGATGGGAAATCAAGAGATCAAAATAGATATGAAAGGAAATGAAGGGCACTCAAGGGAAATGAGGGGAACTGAAGGCCTAAGGGAAATTAAGAGAATAGGGAATTGAATGGAAATGCAAAGACAACTGGCGATCCGAAATGCAGAGGTTGAGGGAAAGGGAGTAAATAAACCGGAATCAATGGAAAGAAGGGCATGTCAGGGACATGAAAGGACATGAAGAGCAATGAGTGAAGGAAAATCAATGGAAAGGAAGGGAAATGCAGGAAAATGAAGGAAACAAAGTGAAATGACGGGAAATGAGTGGAAATGAAGAGAAGTGAAAGGCAGTGAACGGAAAACAAGGGAAATTATTGGAAATGAAGAGGCGTGAAGGAAAATGAGGGGAATCGACGGGACATGAAGGGAACTAAAAAAAAGGAACGCAAACACAGGGAAATCAGGCAAAGGAAAAGCGAAGGGATTTCAAGGGAACTGGGGTTTTGGCCCGCCAGTGTGAGCCCCAAAGGTCCTGAAATGGAAAACGATGCCGCTGATTTCACACGGCGAAACGCTAAGCCCAAGACAACGCCGACCTCTGGCTCTCTGAGACTCAAGCCACACCGTGCCCACCGTGCCCTGCTGCTTTCCAAGCCTTACAGACCACACACTCCACATGCCAAGGTCATGGTCACAGTTCCCTTTGGATGCTTAAACTGGCTTTAGCCTATGGCTCGTGCGGGGAGGGGACCGTGGTGCTCTCTGTTGCACGATCATCGGGTTGTGAATTTTGCCTGGCCATGCAATCGCCGGGCACACCTGGTCGTCTCAAGAAACAGCAAGCCATTTCCATCAAATGCTCTGTGTTTTACGTCACGAATTCGTGCTGCAGCACCAAAAAAGGACCCGCGAACCTTCCTCCGTGCTCTCGTTACGTCACAAACTCGTGGCCAGTGTGCGCCATGGGCGTCGACTGTTCCAAATTTCTGCTCCCCGCAAAACCACTCGAGGCATCTTTCTTATCATCTCGCTGCTGTGGCTCGCTTCTGCCGCTGTGCGTCACTGGAGGCCTGGGCCTTTATTTTCTGGCATGTCTCCTCCCCGCCAATTGCTGACCCCGCCTCCGCCACCTTGGTCTTCAAAGCAGCGTCGCCTGGGCTTTGGGGGTCAAGCACTGCGTGGAAAGCCAGCAAACTCATCACAAGGGACAAAGAGGGTGGAGGTTCGGGTCCGCCCCCATTGCAATGGCACATTTACGGCTTGAAGCTCTTGAACAAGGTCAGTGAGGCTCCCATTGGGTGCTTGAACAACGCGCCTTTCGATTGTCTGAGCCTTGCAGCGCAACGCCTGCATCAATCCCAAGCAGCAATCAGATCAGGCACGGAGGCCCAAACTCGGGAAGTCTAGAACCTAATGACAATCCGTGATCCGCTCATGGTGGGTTAAAACTGCATGTTGGAGCATGGAAATCCCTGCAGACCTCAAGCCGTGATCCGCATAATCTAATCCGTAACCTGCATCGTCCCATCTGCTAATCATTGGGGATTAGGTTCTGAACAAGCAAGAAAGTCACGATGGCAAACTTGACGTCTGGCCCACGCGAAGACCGAAGGTCCAGGCCTGATGCATCCTTGCCCGGAAAGTGCGCTGTTCCTGAGGCCAAAGGTCCAACAACTAGCCGGACTGTCCAAACAGTATCCAGGTGCATCTACCCACCAAAACAGGTCAGGGTCTGAAAAAACGGCACAGTTGCTGACACACATAGTATGACACCATCATTGAGATCAAGACTAACCACGCCCGGAATGCCATCGACGTCATTAAGACAAACATCCTTCAAACGGAGCGCCCTCTACAGCAGCCCATCGCCCGCGAGCGCGCCCGCCAGAAAACCCAATCCTCAGTCATAGGCTGTCCTACCTGGGCCAATAAGTCGAAAACGCGACCAACCACGGAGTTGAGTGAACTGCACTTGCGACATCACTAGATTGGTCTCAAGAAACGGGTGGACCAATTGAGTCGCTTCAGATGGCACCTGGATGCTTTGGGCAGTTGTTCATTGAGAGCCGGTGCAATCTGAGCAGCCAGGCGCACTGAGGGCCAAGTTGTGCCCTGCGCGGACACTGCAAGCCTTTCCAATCAAGGAGAAGGAGAAGGACTAGAAACACAATTTCCACGTGTCGGGCAACCCCAAGTGTCGACCAACCCCAAGTGTCGACCAAACAGCCCGGTGCTAATTTGCTGTTTAACAATTAAGTAAGCAGTGCAATTAAACGACGTTCGATGTCTGACACCAGGACGGAAAAGCAACCAAGAAGAACCACTCCAAAGCCTGCCAAGTGCTGTCCAAAAAGGTACCTTCCAGCTTCACCACATTTTGCACCCCGACACGACTAGTCCTCTGACTCCACTGCTTGACTCACTGCTTGACAAAGCTGCCTGCTTCGACTACATTGGTAACAGAGAGACAGACAAGACAACACAAGACAAAACGGAGACACAAACAGAGAGAGAGAGAGAGAGAGAGAGGACGAGCGCGGGCAATTCAGGGCACGAGCTCGCAAGGAGGAGGTCTGTGTTACTTGTTTAGCTCGACGAAGTGCATCAAAGCTGCGAGCCTTCTCGAATGACCTCACAAAGAAAGTCAGCTGCAAATCAAACATCCGTGTGGGGACATCTTGAGTTGGCAAGAGGCGCTGCGAGCTGAGATCTCTCACTGACCTGCGTAATCCAAAAAGCATCTGACTTTGGATTTGAACAAACTGTATTTGGGAAAAGCCTTTACGCTTGCCATATGTACCATCGAAACTTCTTGCTGGAGAACTGCTAACGGTTCCATTATCTGAGCTATGCAGGGAATTGGTGCATAGTCTGTCCATCGAATCACACCAAAATCCGTATGTGCACCAAGGTCTTGGTTTCCTGAGTAGGAAGGTCAACACATAAAGAAAACCCCTGTTTTCATGGCAGGTCTTCAAAGTATGTTTCTTTCCGACCACCATGGCGCAGCCCTTTTGAGACACTCTGGCTAAGGGGCTCCCTGCAACAAGAAGTGGCGAGTGCAATTTCGCAAATCACAAAGCCGTGGGCCTGGGAGTCTTTGGGGCACACCACCACCATCTCTGGCTGCGTAAACCTCAGCAAACAAATGCTGAGCGCGCAGCGAGGACCACAAAGCTCAAGTCCGTTCTCCGGAGTCGTAAAGGATTGGAACCATCAGCGATGGGAAAGGTCCGCAAAGCATCGCAAAGCCCCTTCAGGGACGGAAACCAAAACCAAAAAAACACCATCCACAGGCCCCCAAAAGGGCTCACCGGTGTGCTTGCAAAGCCATGAGTCAAGCAGGTCCAGGCATTTCAGCACCTGTCCCACAGCCTGCAACAAGGGCCAGGTTCAAAAGCAATCTCAGAGCCTGGCGCATTTGCTAGGCTTTCACAGAACTCTTTCTTTGTGACCTGCAAAAGCATCTGCCAACAGTCCCGCGCGTGTAGCCGGATTGATTGCCAGCGAAAAAGTCAAGCTAGGTAAATGCGTCACAAAATAAAGCTTCGTTGACAGGGTCGCGAAACTCTTTTGCGTCGCCTAGCCCCCCAGCCAGGAGCCCAGCCTGTTTGATCCCACGCCACTTGACTTGGTGGGCCATCAAAATAAAACAGGAGGGCTGACAGCACGTGTCCCAGGACAGTTCTGAGGGAACCGAGTTCCAACTGAGTGTTTGCAGCCTAACACACGGCGACTATACATAGGGGCACAGCCAAGGGAATCGAGTCCTCTTAGTGAGCGAACTGGCGGGCCAGTGGTTACAGCTGGTGGATCAGCAATGTAGCAATCTAGGCAACAAAGGAACCTGAACACAAACACTCTGACGCCGATCCTGGCAACATCGCTGGCCCGAATGTGCAACCAGCGCGCTGCCCCAGCCCGCGCAGCCGCCTTCCCACCGTCCTGGTTCAGGGCTTCGGCTGTGGAAACCTCGTCCAACACGCAAAGACGCGTTGTTGATTGAAGGTGAAGACAAATCAACGCATTCTCAACACTTCAAGTTGACTGTGAAAAGGCCATTGGCCACTGGAACGCAGTCTACCGCGTCAGTTCACATTGCGTGCGGCGCGGCATTTTTGGCATCAGCATGATGTCATTAGCTTAACTGCTCTGCTCCAACTCGTTACTTCACGGGCACTCAAAGGTGCCAGCAACATTCGACTCTCAGCAAGGCACTCCTTTTGAGCGTGTTGGGCAAGCGAATTAGCGGGGATACGGGGGAAGCGGGGATGTAGGGGGGTTTTAGCCAATTTTGGCAAGTCAGATCCCTGATCTCCGCGGCGGAAGACTTTTCCGCAAAAGCGTCTGCAAACTCGTCAGCTGGAAGTCTCCTGGCGACAGCATCCGTGAGACCAACCGATGGATTGCACGCAAGTATGTGACAGCTCATGTTGTTGTCTTTGGGTGGGGTGTTGAGAACGCAATATTGATGTCAGAATAGTGAAGGGTGGAAAAGTGATTCGGCGAGACAACACACTGCCTGTCTTTGTTTTCTTCGTGCCGTTGGGAAAGCTTAGACCCTCGTTGGTTCTCAGGATGGACTGGTTGGAGCTAGTTGGAACATGGTGGCTTTGCTCAGCAAGACCCTTCGTCTATCAAAAATGAGAATGATGGCCAAGGCCCACCAAAGCATCTAGTCAGCCTTTGAGTGGGGAAAGCTGCAAGGGACATCCTTTGATGGCGCGGGCGTGTCTTGTTTTTTCATCTGAAAGTCTTGGCCTCTGGGCTCAGCTGCTTGTGCCATTGGCATACAGCATGAGAAGCTTAGCCTCAAATGCAGTGAACGATTTCCGCGCAACACGGCTAATTTTGGCATGACTTAGGACCTCCTCCTGAACGGCCATGTCGTCAGGCAATGCGGCGCTGCATCCCCATTTCATGAGAGCGATCGGAAGCATGCCAAGCGGCGTGAGAGGGGAGTCAACCTGCAGCTTCAGCTGCACATGCAGTAGATTTGTTGGAAGTGACTCCAAGAAGCCCATGCCTGAACCAAGCACTTGCAGAGTCAGGCTTTCTGGATGGCTGTTGTCCAGGCAGCTTTTGAGCGCAAACATCTTGCCTCGCACTTCCGCCTTCCACGCTGGCAGCTGCGCGCGGGGTTCACAGAGCACAGTTGGGAAATCCTCACCGGAGCTGGCAGCCAGGCAAATGAACCGAAATCGCAGGATAAAAAGCTGCAAGCAGACTGTCTCCAGCAAAATTAAAACATCATGGTTGTCGCTCCCTGAAAAACACCCCGACATGCCAAGCTTTTCAAACAGCTGGCCTTGAGCCCCTCCCGCCAGAGCAATTCAAAAAGCGACAGTTGTACTCACAAAAACATAAAACCTGTTGCTGATGCATGGCAAGGCTCTGCAGCTGCCTTTGCGCACCCAGAGTCTTGCTGAGTTAGGTCAGGACTCTGGACTCTGCGGTCAGGACTCTGGACTCTGCACTTCGAGCTCTGAGGACAGTCGGCAGGCCCAGAATCATCCACGGACGCAGGAAGCGGGCTTCCAGCTGAGTTCGCCCTGCCTGCCAGATTAGACAAGCAAAGTAGCACGAAGCAGCAACACCACACAGATGCTACCCAACAGCCAAAAAAAAGCGCAAATACAACGTGTAACTGCTCTCCCCCCGTCGCCTCTCTTCCTGGGGCGGTCGCCCTCAGCCTCTTGTGCGTCAGGAGGAGTGTCGCAGATCGGCGCCAATGGCGCGGCCCTGTTCTCCAGGCCTGGGGCGAAGAGTGCCGGGGCTCCATCTTTAGGGGGGGCGGGGGGGGGGGGATCAGCATAACCGTGGGCTGGGATTTGGTATCATGTCCTAAGCTCAGGGTTGGATGCGCTGGAAGGCTGAAACACCGAACAAGCCCATCTGTGCTGCAAACTTGTTTTGGTTGTTTCGGAGCAGCAGGCTCTCTGGACAATCGTCTTCCCCCGCTAGTGAAAGACATGAAAAAGCTTCAATTAATAGCCAGGTCGGAAAATCCCACACACTGACATGGCATTGCCTGTCACCACGAAGACGCGCCTTGCGGAAAGCAGCGCGTCATCAGCCTTGAGAACCAGCTGTTTGCTTGCGGCGCAGAAGCTGTCTGCTTGCGGCTGCTCCCCACTTTTGCCTTCAGCGGGGGGAACAAGACGGGCTTGGTGGAGAAAGTGCTCGGCTCAATTCCAACCACTTTGCTATCTGAAGCCATCTGCTCTGCAATGTCAGCGCTGCCGTCCTGAAACAATAGCTTCTCCCGGCCATGGAAATGGTGGAAGGTACTCGCGTGCATGAGGTCAAGCTGCAGGCCATGCTCGAAAATACAATCCCGCATGATGTCCCACAGCCTGAAGTACTTCATTTTCGGCTTTGATTCCTTGCCAGCATGGGCCTGCAAGTGCTTTCCCACAAGGGCAAGGCACTGAGTCAGCGCCGACTCCAGCCACTCTGAGCCCTCTGGGATAAAGAAGGGCTGTGAGAGACATTCCTTGGATACGTTTAAACTGCTCAAACCAATAGACATCATAGCCAGTGGTTATGTGACTGTGACCCCAGCCCAAATCTGTCAGCACAACTTGCTAGACAAAGTAACAGACGCCAAGCTATCAGCCTACGACCTTGAAAAAGCACTGCGTCACTGTGCGCAACCTCTCGCTACTGCTGGCACTAGCTACGTCTCTCCCTGGACCCAACACAAAGAATTGAAAAAGAATGTGAAAGGGTGGGTGGTCGTTGCCAAGGCTCAACCACATCTGGTTTTTCTAGCCAATGCAGTCGCCGGAAGAGCGGCTCATTCCCTTTGGTCAAGAACCGGGGAACGCTGGCAGCTGGCATCTTCATGAACATGTGGCCAGACCTGGACGGAAGTGCAGGTGCAAGGCGAAGCCAGATCACAGCCGCGTCGCAGAACCAGCTGCCGGGCCTGCTGCAGAGCTTGGGGTGCCCCCAAAGACACTGAACACCAATCCAATTACGTGTAAGACGCATCGCCACGCTGCCGCAGGCAGAACGTGTGGGCCACACACTCGCAACAAGGCGCGCTTAGACACAGGTTTGGCTGCTAGAATTGAATAGGCGTTGCTTGGAGGGCTCCGGAGCATTCAGCTGGCTAGCATCCGGAGTTGGAAAACTGAGAAACTTTTCTGGCCAGTGGAAAAGGTGAGCAAATCGAAAAAAGGTTGTCATGTGTTTGCCGTTTTGAAGCGCAGTGGGGAACCGCCAGGCACGCCTGATGCGGGGCTCGCCTGCGCTTCCAGGATGAAGCTTCGCTGCCTGCAATCGGACAAGGTCTGCCAGGTGCTGAATGGCAATGCCGCCATCCAGCCAGTGACGAGCCTCAGCTATAGGAAAAAGCGAATCTGCATTCTTCACGGTCACCCCTTGTGGAACCTGCACCACCTCGTCGTCGTACGTCCACAAAAACACCTCCAGGCCAATCTGGCGAGCAGAGGCTAACCCAGCTGCGCACTCTAAAGGCAAGGCTGAGTGTCCACTCAAGGTGCTGCTGCTCCAGAAAGCGTGCACTCGTCGGCATGGCCAACAGGCTTCGTCTTTAGGGCGAAGCTTGTGCCGGCGTGCCCCTTGGTTTCTCCTCTCCAGCTTCGAGACCAAGAATTGAGCATCATCTAAGCACAAAAAACACCGCTTGCCGTCCAGATAATAGCTTCCGCCAGACTTGAGCTCGGTCAGTCTTCTGCGCAGCTGGTAGATTGCGCTTGTCATGGCTTCTGCGGACCACAGGCTTAGACTTTTCCAGGCTCCGGACTCCGGACTCTGGACTGGGTATCTGAAGCCAGCGGAGTGCGCAAACAGCATTCGCACAAATACGTCCATAAAGGGTGTGTGGTTGGCTCAGCTGCGCACCCCCTTCTCCCGAAAAAAGCAATAGCAAATAAATAAATGCTCCAAAGTCTGCTGAGCAGCAACATGGCTCAACAAACTGCAGTAGATGTTGAACCCCTTCAAGTTGACAAGCAAGCTCAAAACACAACGGCGTCAAAACAAAGAAGCCCATCCAACAGCGAAGCCGATGTTGAGCAGTCCTCCCCACCATGAATCCGCTAAGGGAAGCGTCAGGAAAAGTTACGGGGCCCGAGAAACCGCAGGAAACTCCGCAGGAGTTGAAAGCCAACTTTGGGGCTATTTCGTCTTGTGCTTCTGGAACCCAAGGAAAGTGCTTCTGGAACCATGCGAAACTTCCCCAAATGGCCCGCGCACTTTGGGAAAAGTTGAGCTGGAACCGGAGCATCAGTGCACAGGGCGGCACCTTGTGGCCCTGACTTGAAACCGTTTGAACAGGACCCCAGGTTTCGCAAAGACACGCCATGAAGGAACCAAGTTTACAAGTGTTGAGACCGTCGCAAACTAAGGGCCCTGCCAAAAGGCCAAATGTCACACAATATGCTCGCCCGTTGTGGATTTCTCGAAACAAGTAAAATGGGCGGTTTGTTTCTGGAAACAGCATACCAACCAGAAGGTGCACCAATTTGATACATTCCCAGTCGCGCATTGTGGACCAGGTATACCCACTTATGCCCAGCTTACCAAGCATACTAGCCGACGGCTCGCTACGACCCGAGCTCCAATCCTCTTGCGCTGGTGGCGGGCATCGCAGCTCGCAACGGCGCGGTGCAAAGTCCTAAGCGGGGGCAGTGGGTGGATTTTATAGGGGCTCCATGAGGAGTTCAACTACTTCATTGCTGAGGGGATCCCCTTCCCTTCATATCTCAGGGGTGTACTGTTTCATCGTGGGGGTCCACGTCCACCACTTTTGCGGGGGTGCCTTTTCAAATCATAAACTGGCTTTTCCGGGTTCCCCTGACCAAGGTGAGAAGGGCGCCCTCAAAAACACAAACACAACTTACACAAACACAAACACACAAACATATACACACACAGACACACAGACACTAGGCACACAGGCACACAGGCACACAGGCACACAGACACACAGACACAATGACACTCAGACACGCAGGCACGCAGGCGCACAAGCACCCCTGGCACGCAGGCACGCAGGCGCAAAAACTCAGGCACACAAGCACGCTGGCGCACAGGCACGCAGGCACGCAGGCACACAGGCACGCGCACAAGCGAACACGGAAACACGCTGACACGGAGACACGCAAACACACAAACGCAGAAACAAAAAACAAACAAACAAACAAACAAACAAACAAACCAGCCAACCAATCAACCAAACCAAGCCAAGCCAAACCAAACCAGCAAACAAACAAAGGAACAGACACAATAGAACACCAACATACAAGCAAGCGAACAAACAAACAAACAAACAAACAAACAAACAAACAAACAAACAAGCGAACAAGCCGGAGCCGGAGGGACTAAAGCCTGCAGAAGGCTGCACTCTTGGACCCGTCAATATCCCGCCGGAAAGCACACGTTTGTTCTCATGCGTGCTTATTCTTCTCCTGTATTTTTTTCAGGGCGCTAGATTTCATTTAGTGTCCGTAGCACGGAAGTTCCTTCTAAATTTCCTTTGGTGAGCAAGCCAGCCAAGACCAAACCAAATGCAAGCAAGCCGTAAAACTACTCCACAGGGCCGGCAGGGTGTTCCCAACACGCATCCCTAACCAACCCTGCAAGATTGCCAGCCCTAAGCCGGCCGTAAAGCGCTAAGCCACAAACCAACCGTGAAACCACCCAAATCCAACCCCAACCCAACCTAAAGCCATCCAACACCCACTCCACGAAGGGTGAGAGGGTGAGGGGGTGTGAGTTGGGGGGTGGGCTGGATATATCCTAACAAACCAAAGGCCCCGGCACTAGCGAGGAAGCTCAAAATTGCCGTAGAGGCAGGAGCCGTTGGTCGCCAGGCCCTCGCTCCAACCGGGGAGTGGTGAGCCACGCCCCCCACCCACACTTCCACGTTTCGAGAGCTTAAAAACAAGGGCAAAACCAGTCCGTGTGACCCTGGCAAAAAAGGGGACCATGTCAGCTTTGGGCTCCAGATTTCGACCCAAACAAAAGTGGGAAACAGAGTACCATTGAGCAACTGGCAACTTTAGGATTTGTTCCTCAGAAAATGCCAGCAAACAACTCATTTTGTATTTTGTGTTGGGATCGCTTTGTCGGGCGCCATGTTAACCTGTAGAAGAGTGTACTGTTTCGATCTGATTCACACGCGAGGCGTGGCTTTTTGATGCAGTCGCAGGCATCTTTGGCGCTTTCAGGGCTTTGCGCCAAGCCCTTGCTTAAACATGTGTAAGCATCTGTTGAATCGTTGTTCGGTGCGTCGGACGCCTAAGAGAGGATAGAGGATAGCCCCCCCCCACACCTAGTCCTCTCAATTACGTAGGGTTTGGGGGAGGGGCTGGGGGTGGGCACACCGCGCGGCAATTTGAGGGCCCTCTACCAAAAATAGTCTTCGGGGAGCCGGCGTTGAAAAACTGGGGTCCCAGGCTCGAATCCCCCTGCCGGCTCTCTGCCGGCTTGGGTCTTCCGCCTCCCTTTGCCGAAAACGTTGCAAAGCACCGGCCTCATTTTTATTTTAGCGAAAACGTTGAACACTCACATGTTTTTCAATATTTTTGGCGGGCGCAGACATATGCGTGGCCTCCTTCAGTCTGAAAAACACAAATGTTTTCGGCATCTTTTGGGAAGTGAAAGGGTAACAAACGGGAAATGAGGAGGAAATGAAGGGAAACGAAGAGGAAGCGAAGGGTAAATGAAGGGGACATGTGCGGAAATGCGAGGCAGTGCAGGGAAGTGAAAGGGGGCATGACAAGGAAATGAAGGGACTGAAGGGGAAGTGACGGACATTTGGGGGAAGTGCCTGGAAATCAAGGGCAGTGACAGGAAATGAAGGGAAATGCACGACAGGATGCAGAAATGACGGGACATCAAGGGGAAATGAAAGCGACACGAAGGGAAAATGAAAGCAACATGAAGGGGAAAGGAACAAGAAATGAAGGGACATGTATGGAAATGATTGGACAAAAGCGGACATGAATAGGAAATGAAGCAGACATAAAAGGGAAGAGGGCAAGGAAAGGACAGGGAAATTGAAAGGACACGAGGGGAAAGGAAGGGGAAAGGAGCAAGACATGAAGGGGGAACGCAGGGGAAACAAAGACATGAAAGACAGTAAAGGGGAAATGACCGGAAACGAAGGGAGATGTGGGGAAATGAAGGGGTGGGAAACGAAGCAGAAATAAGAGAAAAGGACAGGGGCATGAAGGGAACATTGAAAGGAAATGAAGGTGCCATGACGAGGAAGTGATAGGACACGACGGGACGTGCAAATGAAATGCAGGGGAAATGCAGAAATCCAGGTGAAACGCGTGGGATTTGGGGTAGTCAAGCAACAACGCAGGGAAATGAGGGGAAGTGCGCCGAAGGGCGCGACGTTGGCGGACTATACCACCATGCTCTAAATGCTGCATCCCTTGTCTCAAGCAAATTTTTAAACTCTAGCAACGCGCAGTTCCCCACTCAAGCAGATGTAACACACACACAAATTGACCACCTGGGCCACTCGATCATCGTCGGAAAATGCAGAAGTAGCAAACCAGTCCCCTGGCATTCAGGTTGTCAAGCGTCACTTCATCACTTCAGGCAGTGTGCTCATGTTCTCAAAAACAGCAGTACCGACAGGGTTGTCCAAAGGGTTTAGAGCCCATCAGCCACCATGTCGGGGGTTACTTTCGTTGGTGGACATCTCACATGCCCTTGCTTGGAGACTGCCATGGAACATACCCAGATAGATGTTCCCGTTGATGGACATACCCAAATGGTCTGAGGGCAACGCGCTGCAAAATCCGATCAACAGCCTCGCTTCCTGTCAAGCTAGGATCGTGGTTCAGCATGGCCCACATAGCGTGAGCATAGTCTTCAGGCACTCCGCGCACAGCCTGTGGCTCGCCCCAGGCTGAGCAGCTGTTCAGCTTGCGCAGCACCGCTTCGCTCACCCCAGCAAAACCATGCTCCACGTGGTACTGCAGCAGACTTTGTGGGGCTCCTGTCACAAGACACACACCCCGGTTGCGCCGGTTGCCGGCCTGGGACATTTTCAAGGGTGACCAAGGCGTCAGCGGCAGGACTTCAGCTTCTTCCAGCCGAAAAATGTGGGTCCAAAACAGGCATGTGATGGCAACGTCGAATGTGACAATGTTGCCCTCTTCCTGCAGCATGGGCCACAGCAGCGCACTGCGTTTGTATGTCCTCACCACAAACATGCACGCGGGGTGCCCACCAATGCGCACCACTTCTCCCTCAGGCAGGAGTGCAGTGCGCCAGGCTGTCTCCACTAGCAGGAGTGCAAAGTCCCCGTAACGCTCCTGCTGGGACTCTGGAGTGTGTGTAGGCCATGTGGCGTGGCCCGTGACAGCCTTGGCAAAGGCGTCATCTGCCTCATCATCAGGAGTCGCGCTGTCTGAGCGCCCTCGGCGACTCGAAAACAAGGACTCCATCTGGAAGCTGGGAGGCACGTGCTTCAAGGACGCAGCCTTGATCTCCTGGCGCTTATAGCTGGCCACCAGCTCGTGCCTCGTCAGCGCATGCCACCCCTCAGAGGCAGACACCCTTTTGGAGGTGACATGCCGTTGTTCCATTTCCCTCTGGATCTTGTTGGCGTCCTCCACAAGCTTGCTGTTGAGCAAGCTTCCCCACCCAGACAGCAGAAACCGGCGTAGGTCCTCCGGGACAGAAGCGTAATCGACCTGGGACAGGCAATCCAAAATCCACCGCATGGCTGGGGAGGTGGCGTCATGGCCCCGGAGCAGCTCGCGGGCCGCTTTGCTGCCACGTTGCTGCACCGCTTTGATTGTCTGGGCAACAGTGCGCAGGAGTGACAAAGAGCCACGGCGCTTCTCTTCGTCTGAGTGAAGCAGGCCTGCGCTGCATCCAGCCCCGTTGGTGTTCCACAGCTGAGACCCAGCGCGAAAGCGCAGAATGGCCTTCAGCAGCCGCAGCAGAACTTTGCACAAGGCCTGGTCGAAGCTGACTTTGTGCGAGTCCGCTGCCTGAGCCCCCTCCATGGACAGCTCGAAACCGATCCTGGCCAATAGCCGCACATCGCTGAGCAGTCCGACGTGCTCCTTAGCAGTCTTCAGCCATGCCCAATGAGCCCAGCCGCTGAAGTATCTGAGCGTGTCCTCAGCGCTGCGCATTTCGTGCAGCATGGTGCCGCACGCCTTTGCTTCCGGGGCCAGCACATAGCTGATCAAACGGGCCAGGCTTTTGTTGTCTTGGCTGGACATGAAGCGGGTCATCAAGTGCAGCGTGTTCACTGCCCGGCCACCTTTTCGCTCCTCATTCATCTGGGCCTTCACCGCCGTCTTTGCGCGTGCCTTGGACAGCTCGATGCTGTCCAGCGCAGCAGCAGTGGGGACGTCTGGGCCCCACAGCTCTGCAGCGTCTGTGATCCAGCCTTGCAGAATGCAAATGGAGCAGAAGAGGAAGTTCTGGGCAGACCAGTGCTCGTCCAAGGCTGCGTGCGACTGGACAAGGCTGTTGAACCGGGAGATGGAAGCCTTGATGCCCTTCTGTGTCACGAAGGGCTCAGAAGGGAGGCCTGCCAGGAAAGCCTGTCGCTGCTCGCGGTTGTTCTGGTCCTCGCCCATGCCTCGGTCTTGCAGGATGTGCGGGAAAAACGTCACCAGCAAAGGGTCATCAGGG